ATAAAATACTGTATGATAAACTTTAATATTGAGAGAGAGTGCATCGGGTGTAATTGGCTGAATGGGGAATAAAGGTACTGGTCCTTAGAATTTCAACAATAGATTAAGATAGACAACATACAATAAAGGACTTAAAATAGCACATTTGACACTGTTTGTACAGTAGTAATAATTTTCAAAGAGAATATTACTCCGTTATGCAGCTTCTTTGTGTGCTTGAAATACAGTATATAATATAGATACTGTATTTAGGAATTGTCATACATTTCTGCTTGGCTGTTCTCTAACCCTTAACATGTGACTGATCAAAAGTACCCCCTCTGGTTGTGCACAAAAAATTAAACTATACATATGCATGCAAACAGTAGGAAAAATGCAAAAATCCACAAATATCTGTAGTCCTTGTTTTATATACTTTATATTTTATATTTCTGGGTGAGTAGGTCATTTGGGTTGTGTTGATGTACATTTGCTGACATGGCAGGTCATGGAGCAAGCTGTGATGATTGTATTAGAGGGTTTGAGTTTGCTATTTTGCTTTAGTTAACAGTGTCTGAATAACTTGATTTATTTACTGTACACATAATGGGGCTATCAAGAAACTGGCTTTGTCTGACCAGTCCTGAAGTATGTGGCTCTTGCATAAAATTCTTATCTTGTCAAAGAAAACAAAGTTAGAGAAAAGATAAAGGTTCGTCATGAGACCAGTCCCAGAATTGAGAAGTAAAACAGTTAACATTTCATAAATGAACCAGCGAAGCAAGTTTATCCTGCCAGACAATTGTGCGGGAAGCCAGCCATGTCAACTTATCCTCAAAAAAAAAACAAAAAAAACTTAGTTATTATGGTCAGTTCGTATTTCTAATGTTTCTCCTCGTATTGTTCCTTCCTTGCCCCCGTGGAGAGTCTCCCTTCCAAAGTTTTGTATGTCCTTGACCCGCATCACTAAAGCTTTTACCCCTCCTATGGTTCTGAAACGCCTTTTCCTTGAGAACTTTTCTTCGCACTCCTGCTCCATTTCCATCTTCACTGATGGGTCTAAGTCTGTGAACAGTGTGGGCTACTGTTGTTTTTCCTGACCGCACTTAAGTGTCACTTCCCTTCGAAGACTAGCATCTTCACAGCGGAACTTTATGCTATTCTCTATGCTCTCCGTCTCCTGCTTTCTCGTTGTCAATCCTCCTTTGTGGTTGTAGTTGACTCTTGGAGTGCCCTCATGGCTCTAGGGTCCTTTAATCCTGCCTGTCCATCCGGTGGTTGTTGAGGTTCAACATTGGCTGTTTCTTATCTCTTAGTAAATTTAAATCCGTAGAGTTTTGCTGAGTTTCCAGCCATATTGGTGTTTCTTTAAATGAGCGTGCGAATGCTGCCGCTAGAGAAGCTATCCGCTCTTGGCCCATCTCCCGTAAGGGTATTCCTTATTCCGACTTTTACCTGGTTATTCATTCCTCCATCCTCCAGCATCTACAGATGCTGCATTAAAACTCAATTGTAGCTATTTAATTATAACAATATTTACATTCCTTTAGTAAGTATATAAGTACTGTACAGTATACAATATCTTATAATTAATAGATAAATATCACTACCAAATTTACCCTAATACATACAAAAGCATACAGCAATGAAGCGCATTAATGATTGGGCACGTAGAACTCAAACTGAACTTGCAGGCATATACCTTGCCACTGAAAATTTAAAAAGACAAAGGCAGTGGACTTATATACTGTGGCTTGCAGAGTGCACTCCTGGCACTGAATGCACATAGTAGTAATACCCAGAAATTGGTCAGTGATATTTGAATGAATGTTTTAGCTGCTAAAGAAAACAGATTTGAAATTCAATTTCTATTGATACCATCACATAGCATCTCAAGGCATGACACTTGATATGCTTGCAAAGACAGCCTGTAGAAAACCAGTAGTAGAAATTGATATGGGTGTTTCATTAGCAGTGACAAAGAGAATCCTTAAACAAATAACTAATGAAAATCTCACCGACCTAACAAATTCACAAAGACTTGAAAATTGTAGCATTAAATATTATGATAGATATCATGAGGAGACATTCACATATGGGGCTAATAGAGCAAGAACTCTGCAATGTGATGTTATAGTGTTATAGTGTTATAGTGACATAAAACAGAGGAAAGGGTCCTGAAAGATATTGTTAATAGAAACGTTATCCCTACAGACAAAAATCAGAGGATACAACTGACGATTTACTATAAAACCAGAAAAACGGCCAGCCTACTCATGAGAAACTCTCCAGACACAAAGCAGAACGCTTTAAAAGAGACCAACGTCGTCTATGCCTTTAAATGCCCACTTGGGGACTGTAAGCTCCAAAAAACCCAGTATATAGGCAAGACAACAACATCTCTTTCTAGGCGTTTAACAATGCATAAACAACAGGGCTCCATTAAGGAACATATAATCTCTTCCCACAACCAAACCATCGCCAGAGAAATCCTAGTAAACAACACAGAAATCATCGATAGATACAGCGATAGCAGGCGGCTTGACGTTTGCGAGGCACTACACATTAAGAAGTCAACACCAGCAATCAACAGCCAATTAATGCACAACTATATTCTACCCACCTCAAGACTCCGCTCCAATATAGAAGCATCAAGAAATATGGACCAATAGGCTTTCTACAATCACTTCCATTTCAATACCCATTGTTTCGTGTTCTGTCTTGTGTTGATGAAATTAATACCCTATTAATGCCACCTCTTGTTCTGTCTTGTGTTGGTGAAATTAATACCCTATTAATGCCACCTCACCCCATCCACCTCACTCAAATGTAGTTATAAACAAAAATCGGAGATGTGTAAGTTCTATTCAGTTGTGTATTTGTAAACTAAAGTCTTTGAAAATGTAATAAGTTTTACGAAACGCACTCGTGTCGCGTCAGACTAGAAATAAAAATGAATTTTGGAGAATTGATTTTTGAATTACCTCCAACAGTGAAAAGAAATGTACGAAAGATTGAGAAAATTCGTGTTAGAATTATTAATCTTACTTTTTCGGTCATATTTAATAATATATATATATATATATATATATATATATATATATATATATATATATATATATATATATATATATATATATATATATACATTATATATATATATATATACATATATATATATATATATATATATATATATATATATATATATATATATTATTAAATATGACCGAAAAAGTAAGATTAATAATTCTAACACGAATTTTCTCAATCTTTCGTACATTTCTTTTCACTGTTGGAGGTAATTCAAAAATCAATTCTCCAAAATTCATTTTTATTTCTAGTCTGACGCGACACGAGTGCGTTTCGTAAAACTTATTACATTTTCAAAGACTTTAGTTTACAAATACACAACTGAATAGAACTTACACATCTCCGATTTTTGTTTATAACTACATTTGAGTGAGGTGGATGGGGTGAGGTGGCATTAATAGGGTATTAATTTCACCAACACAAGACAGAACAAGAGGTGGCATTAATAGGGTATTAATTTCATCAACACAAGACAGAACACGAAACAATGGGTATTGAATAGAAGTGTTTGTAGAAAGCCTATTGGTCCATATTTCTTGATGCTTCTATATTGGAGCGGAGTCTTGAGGTGGGTAGAATATTGCACAACTATATTCTACCCACCTCAAGACTCCGCTCCAATATAGAAGCATCAAGAAATATGGACCAATAGGCTTTCTACAAACACTTCTATTCAATATCCATTGTTTCGTGTTCTGTCTTGTGTTGATGAAATTAATACCCTATTAATACCATCTTGTTCTGTCTTGTGTTGATGAAATTAATACCCTATTAATGCCACATCTTGTTCTGTCTTGTGTTAATGCCACATCACCCCTTCCACCTCACTCAAAGGTAGATATATAACCGGAGATGCGTAAGTTCTATTCAGTTGTGTATTTGTGAACTAAAGTCTTTGAAAATGTAATAAGTTTTACGAAACGCGCTCGTGTCGCGTCAGACTAGAAATAAAAATGAATTTTGGAGAATTGATTTTTGATTTACCTCCAACAGTGAAAAGAAATGTACGAAAGATTGAGAAAATTCGTGTTAGAATTATTAATCTTACTTTTTCGGTCATATTTAATATATATATATATATATATATATATATATATATATATATATATATATATATATATATATATATATATATATATATATATGTCGTACCTAATAGCCAGAACGCACTTCTCAGGCTACTATGCAAGGCCCGATTTGCCTAATAAGCCAAGTTTTCATGAATTAATTGTTTTTCGGCTACCTAACCTACCTAACCTAACTTTTTCGGCTACCTAACCTAACCTATAAAGATAGGTTAGGTTAGGTAGGGTTGGTTAGGTTCGGTCATATATCTATGTTAATTTTATCTCCAATAAAAAAAAGTTGACCTCATACATAATGAAATGGGTAGCTTTATCATTTCAAAAGAAAAAAATTAGAGAAAATATATTAATTCAGGAAAACTTGGCTTATTAGGCAAATCGAGCCTCGCATAGTAGGCCAAAATGTGCGTTCTGGCTATTAGGTACGACATATATATATATATATATATATATGTATGTATGTATGTACTGTATATGTATGTATGTATGTACTGTATATGTATGTATGTATGTACTGTATATGTATGTATGTATGTATGTATGTACTGTATATGTATGTATGTATGTATGTATGTATGTATGTATGTATGTACTGTATATGTATGTATATATATATATGTATGTGTGTGATGTATGTGTATAAAGTATATGTGGAAACTGATCAGAATTACATTTCACCTTTGTAAATGCACATCAATGACACTATGTAAAAGACACATCGAACACTGTATGTAGGGCATACATAAATCTGTGTATCTATGTATTTACGTATGTAGGTTAGCTTAGCATTTTAAAAGCACTATACAATCACCTTCTGTGGTTGATTGTTCAATAAATCCCTGAACTATAAGTTTAACAAATCTCTCACCTTGTCCATGGAGGGCAGAAGAAAATGTATATATGCTGATTAGCATTGTAAATGTGTGGCCACGTCTGTGGTAGAAAAAAAAGCTATAAAATGGTGTACACAAAGTGTAATTGCTCCCCCATTCCTTCTCCATAGTCTATGATCTATCTATACCTTGTGTTGGTTCCAGGAATCAATGCCCCTGCAGCCCAGTCTCTGGCCAGGCCTCATGGTTGGTGGTCTGGTCAACCTGGTATCCTTTGTAGGTCTTTTATCAAGTTGAGCACAGTTAGAGATTGGCTGGTTATGTCTCTTATAAGTTGAGGGAGAGTATTGAAAGGTCTTGGTCCATTAATGTTGATAGAATTTTCTCTTGGTGTACCTTTTACTCCTCTGCTCTTTAACAGGGATTTGGGCAGTTATATATGGCTTCTTTTTTGTGCCCAGCACATGCCCACTTGGGGTATTACCTGGGGTCTGACGAGTCGAATGAAATCCCTTATTCAACAAATAGGTCACCCCATATGGATCATTAAAGCAAGGACATGCTGTATTACTCTTTGGGTTCTGTTCATTGGGAAATTGAAAATCCATCTTCCTACTTTGTCGGTCTTGCTAGTATTCTTTGTCATATGACACTTAGACATTTGTTGAAGTCTCTTATTTGCCCTAGTAGTTCAGCATCATCAGCAAATGTATTCATATACTGTAACTCTGTATCCTCCCCTGGTGCATTGTCTGTGATTATCACCCTCATTTTTTGGTCAAAATTGTTCATTCATGCTGTAAGCCTGTCGGTTTTTCCAGCATTTTCCAGCCTCCAGATCTTTTTTTTGGGGGGGGGACTCAAAAACTTTAACTCTAGATAAATGCAGTAAATCCGCCCATCTCTTTCCTGTAAGATCTCTGTGGTTCTATCATAAAAACTAACTAGATTTGTTACACAGTAAATTTGTTGCAATATTGTGTGCAATAAGACCATGGTCACATTTGTTAACAGCTTTCTCAAATTCTATGTACTGTATGTTACATCACCATTTTGCTCGTCAACCATGGCATCTAAAGCCATCCTGCCAATCACACGACATAACTATGACGTTGCTACAACATTTGAACAAGTTTGTAACAACTTTCTAACATGTCATAAAAACTTTATAACAATATGTAAGAACTTTGTAACATGGTAACAATAGGGACTGTTACGTTGTGTGTATGTAGGGATGTCATAGTGATCTAACAGCTCTGATGGGCAGGAGCCCCATGCTCTAAACCCAAGGTGTCTAGGGTTATGTAAACATTGTGACTCCATGTGCTTTGTGACCTTACTTCTTATTCTTAGCACCACTACAAAGATTTTTTTGATGTGTGATGTTAGTGCTATGGGGTTTATAATTTTTGGCATCTTCTCTGCTACCTCATTTGTGGAGTGTTATGATTTCTCCTGTTTTAAATGTGTTGGGATAACACCAAAATCTAGGCTCAGTCTCCAAATGTTGTTTAGGGCCTGTGACAGTAGTTTTCTGTTCAAAGCCCTGGTGGCCTCCTGAAGCTATGTTGCTAATGTAGCTTCCCAGTACTTAGCCACATCAGTCATAGGAGTCTTATTGGCCTCTTTGAAGAGGCACAGAGAGCACAGAATTGTTATGATGACTCACCAAGAAAGCACCCAGAAAGCAGCTGAAAAATACAAAACAACTGCTTGATTCATGAAAACAAAGCACTGAAACAGCCAACAGATACTGTACCACACACGAATTGCTAAAAAAAAATGGTTCGTATGAGACTGAATTTGAAACAACTACCCCAGTGTGCATGTGCAAAGCCTCCAGCTGACGGTGAAGGTGGTGTTATTTATTTCATATTCAATCCATTGTTGATATACCACAAACTGACGCACTTGGTAGGGGGCGGAAGAGTCACGGGGCCACTGGGGTTCACTCAGATAGGGGCATTTTGGTGGAGGCACTGTTTGTGCCTCCGCTGAAGAAGAATTAGTGGCACTCAAGTAGCAATGAATCACAGCTATCAGACATATCAAATATTGCACCCTTGGCGAGACAAACCAAGCATCGTTTACTGAGGGACCCCTCTGGAAGCCAACAATCTGTCAGAAAAGGAGATGGCGGCAGGTGAAGAAACCACCCACCAGGGTCAAAAGAACAGAACCCATGCCTTTGGAGGAGAGCAGAAAGTTCCTAAATCCAACAACCAGAGGCAAACGCCAACCAAAAACTGCTGAAGAAAAAGAAAAATATCCTGGATCGAATCAAAGGGTCACCTTTGAACCGAGGGGAAAGGAAGAAATACCAACACCTGATCTAGAGACCAAAAAGGCTCAGGGAGAGAATGGGCTGACCTGAGGTGAAAGAAAACCCAAGACAACTTGTGAAACAGCACTGAGGAAAAATCGATGCTGAATGCTAATGAATGCGTCTCAAAGGATCACCATGCACAAGTGTGTCTCCAATCTTGACAACTCTCGGAGCATCATCTGAACCAGGAAAAAGAGGTAAATAAATCACCACCTCCAGCCTTATTTTGCCAGTATTAGGCCATACAGTATTTAGATTATGGAGTTAAATTTTGGGAACTATACTATAAAATTCAGTAGACAAAATTATCTAAGAAACATATATAGGTGAAACAAATATATATGAAACAATATAGGTGACAAAGTTAATCCCATGCATTAAGAACCTCTTATATAAAAAAAAGGGTAAAAAAAAAATATATTTACATTCTGTAGAAAAGCAAAACTCAGGGAGTTTGCTTGTCCCTCAAGCAAGATTAAATTATAAGATTGAATTACACTGTACAGGTTTAGAAATAGATGAAATTGTAACGGGGGTATTAGTAGGGTGAGAGAATAATGGTAATTTGTTGGATAAATGGAAAAGAGTAGTACTGTACCACTATAAAAGTTAAGGGCAACTTAAGGGAGTGTGTAAGAATTACAGGCTTATTACTGGATAAGCATTTGTTTACTAGCAGATAAGTGTATGGTATGACAGTGATTGTTAGTCTAGGAAACTACTCAGTGATGAACAAGTTGGGTAACATTGTGCAAGACGGTATTAATAATTAGATATAGATGAACCTTGTTTAACATCAGTTAAAACTACTGAAAACTGCAACCTTTACTGAAATGACATTAAGTGAAATGTAAAACATCTAGTTTAGTGTCTTAATGATATTGAGTTGATCAGTAGGAGCCATAAGGAGGATACTGTGTTATTATTTTCAGTAAATAAAAAGTAAAAATTTTAGTACAAGTACAGTGTTCATAGACAATATTTAAAATAATCCTCATATACAATACTTAATATTCTATAATTAGCATAGGATTCTTCCATGCCATTTTCTCTAGCCTATTTATTATACGCTAGAGAAAACAGAACTATTTATTTATTTAATTTTTTCTTGCAAATTAAAAATGAAACAACATTAACAGGGCAATGTTAAACAAGGTTCACCTGTATAAAATGAGACAACATATAAAGTATTTGAGAATGATTATATGACATACAGGACATTTTGGTGGGGTTGGTGGAGTGCTGTTAAATGCTGTGAAAGTTGTCTATTTTAACATATACAGTTAAATATGGGGGTCATGCGGTAGGTCAAGGTAAGAATGCGACATTAGAGTATGTCAGATTTTATGTATGCTGATGATACAGGTGTTTTAGCAGAGAATGAAGAGAGTGGTATAGAGACTAGTTTAAATTTTAATTCGGGTGTTTCCTCAAAACCCTCTTACATAGTTATCATTCCTCAGAAATATAAATCATATATTTTTAAGCATATTTTTGGGTTATACATTGTATGTAGATTTAATTTTGTGTTAAATCATCAGTCGTAACATTGCACAATTTACTATTAAAGATTACTACAGTAAGCAAAATATTTTTGGTTTAGTTCTTTGCATTTTAGTAAGGTTTGTTTCTTATGATGAGTCATGATTTTGTTTAAATAATTCCATGTTTCTTCAAAGCTTATCATACTTTTGTTAATCTTTAACACTGATACTACGAAATAATAAGTGGTAAATTAGTTTCCTTTCTAACATTTTTAATCAAAACAAACTCATAATAACTAGACCTAGATAATGGAAGTATTATCTTAGTGTCACCAGATGGTCTTTAAGAATGGTGGGAATGTTGTTAACTTTATAGTATCTGTAGTCAGCAACTTGATAGATCTCAGAGGAATGGTTTCTCTTGTAGGCCGCCACCAGTGGACCAGCGGGTCTTCGGCCGCCCAACTGCTACCCTTGCTCAGTTTGCGGCCGGATGTTTGGCAAGCGGCACCATCTTAAAGACCACATGTACACCCACACAGGGGAGCGACCGTTTCCTTGTCCTGTTTGTGGTATGGGGTTCTCTCAGAAGTCCAATATGAGGAGACATGTTCGTTCCACACACCCGGAAGTGAAGTACCTGTTGGAGAGATTTCCTCAAAGTGCTTGTATCTGAACTCCCAACAAGTGCTTGTAAATACAGTACCTACAAACACAGGACTTTGTGTTTGTTAATTTCTCACTGTGTGAGCTGCCCAATCTAAGGGATTTCAAGTGCAGTATATATATTGTTTTAAGTACATACAATAATATTATTGTAGGAAAAGTACTGTATTGTAATTCCTTTATTATCTGTTAGTTCAGTAAGCATTTCCCCTAAAACCCAGTCATGCATCAGTTTTATTTGGCCATTGCTCATCAGTTTTTATGCTTGATGACACCTCATATTATCTGTCGTATTGAGTGGAATATCTGAACTTTTATTCCTTTAAAGGTTAAACTCAGAACACTCCAGTTGAATAAAACTTTAATTAATAAAAAGTGACTGATATTGTATTTTGTACACACCTGGAAAATATTACAATTGTGATGTTAAACTTTTCGAAGACATACTTCATCGTATAAATCATTTGCACTAATTGTATTTACTAATAAGACTTTTATGGTGTTCCCCTTTGTTTTATCATTCCTTTATAATCATATATTAAATAGTTAAAACCAGTCGAGATCAACAAGTTTCTTTAGTTTAACAATTCCTAAATCTGTCTCACTGCATATTTGGATATTCGACAGGCGTTACTCCTTAACATATAAATAATAAAACGAATACAGTACCTATACGTAGAGAGATAATTTGGGTGTAGCTACATTTTTTAAACATGTCCACCTGCCATGTGAAACCACTTCTTGCTGCCCAACTTCTTTGATGTTAATGACTTCAGTGTCATTATTATTACTACTACTACTACTACTACTACTGTGTATGTATATATATATATTAATACACACAGTATATGTTAAGTATTCTGACACTGAAAAATTCTTTTTATTATCTCTGTGGCTCATTTGGGTACTAAGTTTCCATTTGTGTCCCATGTGTGTGTTCCACTCATGCTAAATAGTTTATCTTTGTCCGCTCTGTCAATTTCCCTGAGAATTTTGTAGGTGGTTATCATGTCTCCTCTTACTCTTCTGTCTTCCAGGGATGTGAGGTTTAGCTCCCATAGCCTTTCCTTGTAGCTCATACCTCTCAGTTCTGGAACTAGTTTGGTGGCATACCTCTGAATCTTCTCTTAAGTTTGTTTTGAGTTTAACCAAGTATGGACTCCAGGATTGGTCTGACATAAGTTGTATACAAGGTCCTGAATGATTCCTTACAAACATTTCTGAAAGCAGTTCTTATGTTGGTGTGTGTGTGTAACTCCCACTTCACTTTCACATTAACAACTTTACTGTCAACTATTCATACATTCTCTGCTGTGCATGGGAAGGACATTTTCATGTGTGTTGAGATGCCTAGCATCAGGAAACAAGGAATTTTTGTTTTAGATGTAAATGGTTTTAATTGTGGCTAAAATTAATGCACAAGTAGTTGTTTTAATATCCCAGTTTGCATAAGAGAAAAAAAATTAGCTTGATTTCCTGCATTATGACATGATTTACAAATGGAAGCATGTTTATTGGAAAGATGTGCAGCACTTAATTAGGTAAGCAGATGTAGACACATAAAATGCAGTATTGTTAATATTTGTCAGAGATGTTGGAGATGGCAATAAGCATTTAAGTGTGTTAAGGAAGTCTTTTGGGAACAGTTTTAGTACATTATTGATATTGTTTAGATGTCAAACTGTCTCTTTACTTATATTATTAGTATTTTGGTATTAGATTACAAATATGCAGATTGTACTTTTGGAAACTTTATTTATTTAGGGGGGAAAAATCAGCAATAAATAACCAGTCTTATTTTAATTATAGAAAGAAGTATACAAAAACTAAAACATTTGAACATCCTGGAAATTATTTCAGGTATAAAATGTTTTATGCCGTTAAAACAGTCTCATTTCATTTGAGTAAAACAAATAAACTTGAGATATTAAATATACTTGTATTCAAAATAATTACACGTGATGAAGTTGTAATTTAATTATCTAATGAACATCCTGGATTGGTCAGTATGAATTACTGTACAGTACTATGGAATCATTCTTATACAAATGATATGCAACAAATAATTGTTGCAATATACTAAATTGCTATATTTTAGACCAGTTATGAATACTAATGAATAACAAATTGTCTGTATAGTATTGTATATAGTGGAGCTATTTTTTTAAATTGAGTTATTTTCATTATTGGCTTTTTTTTTTCTTTGATGAAACAGACAAAGTAGTGAGCATAATTTGAGGAAGTTGATATGCATGCCAAGTACAAAAATGTAATTAAATGGTGGTGGGGCTGGCATCAGATGAAGATCCAGACTGAGGACTCTGTTGTTCCTTCACCAGGGGGCAGGGCAGGGAGCAGCTGTTCACCGAAGCTACGTCAGGTCACCTGCAGGTCATGTGCCTCCCACGGTTATCCAAAGTCACGTCTCAGCATTATCCCTCGACAAGAATGAATCTTGGCCAAAAAGTCGTTGGAACTGTCCTCACCCTTCCTGTGATTATGTGACTCACTGTGAATCAAAGCTCAAGATGCATTACCGGAGACACACCGGCGAGAAGCCATTTGCCTGCCCTCACTGCAGCTTTAAGTCTGCCCAGAGGGGAAATCTCAATGTTCACATCAAGAAGTATCATATACTTTATTTGAGTCAGATTTGTCCCAAACCAGATACCACTTTCAGTGATCAGCTGTAATAATTTAGTTATGAATACTGTACTGTATATATATTACAGGAGGGTTTGCTTTGCCATATGATTATAATTTACTTCATATGTATTTCACAGGCCAAATGAGACATTTCTGTAACCTTTTCAGTTTAGTCAAGTTACTGTACTTCAAGTTAAGAAAAGGTTCATTGTCTATATCTAAACTTTTGTTTTTTAACTTAAATTTTTACAACTGCTTGAGGGAGTCATAATTGCTTTTTAGTAGAGAGTTTTTGTATTATCTTTGTTGAAAATCTGAAATATTACAACACACATTTTTATTTTAATAACTTTTAATATTTTTTATTTATTTTTTTTAATTTTAATTATGTAACACTAGTTTTGAAACCAATACTGTATAGACACAGTGGAAATATTATATTTCCTGTAGTAAAATACAAAGTATTGTGCTATAGAGAAAGCTGAAGGTTTTACATTATATTTTACACTCCTATGTGTACTGTAGTTGGCTATTTAATGAATTCTAAATGAAGAATATGGTTTATTATTGGGTTAGATCTGCAAATAGTACTTTATAAACAAACTATCTGGAAGCTAAAATTCAACAATATGTCTTAAGTGTAAAATAATTTAAAACTTTTGAAAAAAAATCAATGAATATTAAAGTGAAAGGCTTGCAATATAAGGATAATTTCTTAATAAGATAGTGATACTGTAATACTGTACTTACGCTTAGGGAAATACACAGCTTGTAATTGTATATAAATAAGTTAAGAAAATACGTATATGGAGATAAATGAAAAACAGAATGGTGAGGGTTACCACTGGCTTAGTTACAAAAATGCAGTTTAGTTGAAGATATCAAATGTTTAATTACAATATGTTGTTATTCAAAATTAGTATGTGCATTGTACTGCATGTTGTTTTCAATCTTTCTGGTTTCTTGCAAAATGGCCTACCCAAATAAAGTCTTCTTATTTTTTCAGTGTATAAATATGAATTGAAAGCTATCTCTACATCATATAGTTTTTCACTTGAACACCATTTGTTTTGGCTTATTATTAAGTAGCTATTGCTCAAGAAGTTATCATGTCACTTGCATACCTTGGTTACCTACCTTAATGCATAGCATTAAGTTTAGTGAGAAAATCCACAGGAGCCATGATGAGGATTCGAACCTATGCGCTGGGTGTTCCCAGATGCACGCTCTAAATGACTATGCCACGACATGGACCAAAGAATTGTAACATGGGGTACTACTGCACCCTTGAGGATTCCTGAGGCTTCCACTGAAGCCGAATCAGGGTTTCACACAATTCCCCCCATACACTTTTGTCCAGTAATTCTTCCTTTGATGCTGCTCTTTCAAGCCTTGGGAATCCTCAAGGGTGCAGTAATACCCCTGGGTTACAATTCTTTTGACCATGTCGTGGTATAGTTGTTTAGATCGTGCATCTGGGATACCCAGCTCATAGATTTGAATTCTTATCATGGCTCCTGTGGATTTTCTCATTAATATACCATGATAATAGGATTTATCTGTGTACAGTATTGAAAAAGGGGCATCAGAGGTAGAATTACTGGATGACAGAGCCAGAGTGCATGGGGAGGGAATTGTGTGAAACCCTGGTTCGGCTTCAGTGGAAGTCTCGGGAATCCTCGAGGGTGCAGTAGTACCCCATGTTACAATTCTTTTGACCATGTTGTGGCATGGTCATATAGAGCTTACATCTGGGAATACCCAGCACATAGGTTCAATAGTTATCACGAAATGTGATTTCTCTGTGTATTAAGTTTAGTAATAAGTTAAAGCAGAACAATAAAGGATATGTTCATATGCATTTTCATGATGGGGTCGGCATTGTATGGTACTGTATTGACATTCGTGGCGAAAAGATCTTGGACAACTCGCGTCTCTCTTGGATATCGTTAAACATTGAAGAAAACACATCAGTATCGTATCACATTATACCACTGTTGCTTGTTGACTGATCACTATACATTCAGCAGCTGGTAGTGAAGAGTAAAGGCTTACAGAATTTTGGTTCTTCAATAGACAAAATCTGAACAGTTTGTAGATGCAGTACTGTCGTTACTGTACTGTAGATGCAGTACTGTTGTCACTGTACTGTAGATGCAGTACTGCTATTGCTGTACTGTAGATTCAGTACTGTCATTGCTGTACTGTCGTTACTGTACTGTAGATGCAGTACTGTTAGTACTGCACTAGTTGCAGTACTGTCGTTACTGTATTGTAGATGCAGTACTGTTGTCACTGTACTGTAGATGCAGTACTGCTATTGCTGTACTGTAGATTCAG